CCTGAACGCTGCAACCTTATACCTCGGCTGGGTAACTTAAGAAGTAACAGGAACAAGGGGAATTTAATAAAATAATAAAATAAACAGGGGCTGAAGGACAGAAGACAGTCAAAGAAACCTGTTGAACGTTACCGGGCAGGGCTGTCAAAAAAATGAAATTCTGTGGATTATGAAAGATGAAGTAAATTCGTTTATTAAACCTTCACTCATTTATCGCATCAATTAGAACTCAAAAAACCATGAAATTCGCATGCAGTGATAAGCCAGCTTAACCATGGATGTCAAAGTACTGAAGGCGTATTGAATACAGAAAGTACAAACGAATGAGGAAAGGAGGCAAGAATGAGATAAGACGTTTCGGTCCATAAAGTCATATACGTTTCAGTCCATTAAGTCATATACGTTTCGGTCTATTAAGTCATATACGTCTCGGTCCACTAAATCATAACTCCCATAGCTCTACTTTAAAAAAAACCGCTTACAGTCAGTGTGAAACCGTTTTGGCTCAAGCTTGCGTCCTTCTTGACTGGACAATATTTTATACATCGGTATCGTTGGTTCTTGAAATACCTGCAAGGAAAAATACATAAGTTATTCTAAAACAAACCAATGAGTAAATTGATAAATTAAAATAACTGAAAAATAGCAACTTCTAAGCAAGCTGCTGGACTCCCTTTTCCCATCTCAACCCCTCCCCCCTCCCCTCCCTTTCCTTCCCTGTGCAATTAAGTCAGAAATTTTGTACTAAACAATCGTGGTGACACACATACGAATGTTGATGCTGATAAGGGGGATGATGCCGCAGACGAAAATCCCTTTTGCAAATAATTATGGGCCAGGAAAGATATGAAATTTATGGAATTTTTTTTTCGAAATAAATGAGGTCCAGGATATCGATTTGGCCCAAGAATCAGATTTCCTACTCTTTCTTGCTCAACACTGTCAAAATCACCTCTGTCTCTTGCCCAGAAGCTAGGAACCCCGCTACAACTAGCGAAAACAGCCAAGTTTTCTGCGATTAACAGAGTACACACATAACCAATCTTAAGAGCTTTCTGATGCACTAGTACTTCTTAGCAAATTTTTTTCCTTACTCAAAATACTAGTGAATTAAAATATCCAGAAAAAAAAGAAAGACTACTAATCAGAAATACTCCAAAAGATCACACGTTCATGGTGACAAGCAGTAAATATTTCTCGTTAACATTCAGATTTTCTATTGCAAAATCTACGTGAATTTCGTGATTCAAGTAAAAAACGACATATGGCGCTTGAAGGACAACTTAAAAAATCATCAAAAAAAAAAACATAAGAAATTACAATTTCATCGTAATATTCCGCAGCAACCATTGTTTTACCATTGGGAAGCGTAACTTGAGGTTGGAATAATCGTAAATAGTGAAAAGCTGTGACCTGAAAGGGCAAAAAAAAGATGGATGCGAGGACAGTAGTGGTAGAAAAGTGATGAATTAAGGGCACACGAAACATCCAAATTTCTCCTCAAAGAATAGAGACAAGACTCAATTTTCAGTGAGTTTTTCACAAACATCTGTACCATGGAACCTAAGAAATTCTGGCAAGTTAGCTTTTGTGTAAATTAGCCAGAAAAAAAAGAAAAAAATACGGCGTAACAATCTGGAAAGCAAAAAAAGCGCCGAAATTTACCGGTTTTTCATTGACGTCGACGAAAAAAATCCGAATCTGAACTTCAAACTCGCCCCATCCGGTCTCCGTTACTTCGTATGGCGGTTTTTCTACCACTGTAAAGCAAAAATGAAGCACTTTTCAACAGTGTAACATTACATTCAAATAGCAGAAACTTGCAACTGTCAATGTTTTCCTTCAAAAAAACTGTAAATTACAAGTAAGCTGTAAAATTATCATTAAAAAGTCAAGAATCACAAATAATTTGTAACATTTTCTCGTATAAAAACCTGGGATCATCAACGATTTGTAAGAGTGATCTGTAAAATACTGCGAATTATAAGTAATTTGCAAAATTATCATTGAAAATCAAGAATCACGAATAATTTCTAATGCTGTTTTCCCTCGAAAATCCTGAGAATATCAGTGGTTTGTAACAGTAATTTGTGAAATTATTCATTTTCATGAATCCAGAATCATGAGAAAAACACTGTTTTCTTATCAAAGATTCGAGACTACACGCTCCAGTTGAAATTTGCTTTACTTCATACAGATATGAAAATAAAGAGGCTAATTATGATATATATATATACATATAACTTTATTTTATGTATATATTTTATGTATATATATAATATATACATAAAATAAAGTTATATATATCATAATTAGTC